ATGACAGGTCCACTTTAATGAAACCTTGCAATGATGTGAATGTCCTTGTAGTCCAGGCAGATCCCCATCATTTCTGGAGGATATTCCATCAAAGTGGACTTATAGAAACTGTCCAAAGTGTCGCCGGCCAACCGTGAGACCTTTGACGCGGTGGTGTCGCGTCCGCATTGTCTCTGTCAAGTCCGATTGGCAAGATCTCGTCTGTCCTTTTCCCAGCCTCAGACCTTCGGCCCCGGAGAACCTGCGGAGGAAATAATCGTTGGGTCAGGCGGAGAGGTCGGACTTAACGCTCATATATTATGGACGGAAAAAAAAAAACCCCTTACGATATCACATTACTCGCTGAAAGCAATAAACGGCCCCAAAAGCTGATGGCATTAAAACTTTGATTAATCGTTCGCTTTTTCATTTTTTCCAGAATTGCCAAAAATTGCATAAAAAAAAAAAAACTGCAGCAAATGTCACCATTAATACAAGGCGGGGGGAGGGAGGGGGGGATGCGGTTCACTTGCTGTAATTCGTCACCCCCTACTGGACGGAGCTGGGAACTCCAGGATCTCGGATGCTTTTTGATGCATTCATATCGTGATAGGTATCAGAGGTCTCCGGACTTATGTATGAGGGTCCGATCCAGGGGCGGACTGACCATTTGGGAACTCGGGCACTGCCCAAGGGCCCGGGGTCAGTAGGGGGCCCCATGAGATGCCCCTGGTACCTTTTTCATAGGCTTTTTTGAGTTTGGGCAAGGACACAGGGGCCCCATGATCCCCTATTGCCAGGGGGCCCCATGAGTTGTCAGTCCGCCCCTGTGTATGAGGGTCCGATCCAAGGGCGGACTGACCATTTCGGGAACTCAGGCACTGCCCGAGGGCCCGGGGTCAGTAGGGGGCCTCATGAGATGCCTCTGGTACCTATCATAGGCTTTTTTGGGTGTGGTTTGAGTGTGGACGAGGACAGGGGCGGACTGACAACTCATGGGGCCCCCGGGCAATAGGGGATCATGGGGCCCCTGTGTCCTCGCCCAAACTCAAAAAAGCATATGAAAAAGGAACCAGGGGCATCTCATGGGGCCCCCTACTGACATCGGGTCCTCGGGCACTGCCAAGTTTCCCAAATGGTCAGTCCACCCCTGGGCGAGGACACAGGGGCCCCACCCCATGATCCCCTATTGCACGGGGGCCCCATGAGTTGTCAGTCTGCCCCTGGCCCCGTCGTATGTTTTATAAAGATTTGCAGGCCGAAAAATATCATAAATGAATCAAATTCAAATGCAATAATGCGTTTTTCTTGGATTATTTTGTAATCATCCTAAAAAAACAATATTTAAGGCACTTAAAAAAAAAAATGTTATACTTGCCTGCTCTGTGTAATGGTTTTGCACAGAGCAGCCCCATCCTTCTCTTCTTGGGTCCCGGCCCCGCCCTTTTGGCGAGTGCCCTCAAAGCAAGTAGCTTTTTTGGGGTCACCCAAGCAGGCTCACTCCCGAGCCGCTGCTCTGCCTGTCCATTCAGACACAGAGCGCGGCTCGGCCCTGCCCCCTCTCTCTCCTCATTGGCTCACTGGCTCTGACTGACAGCTTGGCTCCCCCTGCTTTTTCAGCCAATGAGGAGGGAGAGTCTCCGGAGAGTCAAGGCTCTCATGCACATCACTGGATCGGGATGGGGCCCCTTAACTGACAGTCCCCATTACAGTCCCCTCTTACATCAGGATCCCCATCAAAGTTCCCCTTACATCAGAGTCCCCCTTGTATGAGAATCCCGATCAGATCCCCCCCTTACATGATAGTCCCCATCAGAGTGCCCGCTTGCATCAGGGTCCCTATCAAAGTGTCCCTTACATCAGAATCCTCCTTGTATGAGCATCCCCATCAGATTCCCCCCTTACATGAGAGTCCCCATCAGAGTCCCCCCTTAAAATATACTTTCCAGTAAAGTACCCCCTTACATCAGGATCCCCATCAAAGTTCCCTTTACATCACAGTCCCCCTTGTATGAGCATCCGCATCAGATTCCACCCCCCCCCCCCCACTTACATGAGAGTCCCCATCAAAGTCCTCCGTACATCAGAGTCCCCCTTATATAAAAGTCCCCATCAGAAATCCCTCTTAAATGACAATCCCCATTAGAATCCCATCTTACATCAGAGTTCCCGTTATATGAGCTTCCTCATCAGAGTCCCCCCTTAAATGACAGTCCCCATTAGAGCCCCCCTTTACATCAGAATGCCCATCAAATCCTCCCATCAAAGTCCCCCTCCCCCTTGCATCAGAGCCCTCTTTATGTGAGAGTCCTCCCCCATCAGAGTCCCCCCTTATGAATCACAGTCCCCATTAGACAGTCCCCCCCCCTTTACATCAGGATGCCCATCAAAGTCCTCCTTACATCAGAGTCCCCCTCATATGAGAGTCCCCATCAGAGTCCCCCTTAAATGACAGTCCCCATTAGAGCCCCCTTTACAAATGATCAGAGTCCCCTATATATAGTCCCCATCAGAGTCCCCCCCCATAAATACAGTCCCTATTATGATTACATCACCATCAAAGTCCTCCTAATATTAGAGTCCCCATTATATGAGAGTCCCCATCAGAGTCCCCTTTTAAATGACAATACCCATTAGAATCCCCTCTTACATCAGTGTTCCCGTTATATGAGCTTCCTCATCAGAGTCCCCCCCTTAAATGACAGTCCCCATTAGAGCCCCACTTTACATCAGGATGCCCATCAAAGTCCTCCTTACATCAGAGTCCCCCTTATATGAGAGTACCCATCAGAGTCCCCCCTTAAATGACAGTCCCCAATAGAGACTGTCTTACATCAGGGGGCCAGATAAAATCTTGCAGCGGGCTGTACTGGTCCGTGGGTCATATTTTGGAGACCTCTGATTTAAAAATATATATGTTTTTAGGGCGTAACAAACGTGCTGCCATGTGTGCATTCTCCCCCCCCCCCCCCCCCCCCCCCCCGCCGAAACACATGGTACCGCGGATTTAAAAAAATCATGCCTGCACCCTTTTTTTTGGCACGTTGCACACACATTGGGCGACCCATTGAAATGAATGGGCTGCCATTAAAGGCGACAAGCAGGAACTGTCCTGCTCAGACGCACATCCCTTCCACATGGAAGAAAAATATATTCGAAATATATTTTAAAAAAATATTCTTCCCAAAATGCTACAATTTTGTCCATATTCAATATATTTCAAAATATATTTTCAATAAATATATTATATATACACTGCATGTTGAAATGCGATTTTATTACAAAATATATGAATAATAATACAAATCTACATTTTTGGAACGCATTTACAAATATATGTAAAAATATATGACTTTTTTATATGTAAAAAAAAATAATCAGAAGAATATATTTAAAATATGTATATTTAAAAAAAATGTCATGTATTTTGTAATATATAAAAAAATTGCATTTCAACATGCAGTATGTGTATATGTATGTATGTATGTATGTAATATTATATATATTTAATATATATATCTTATTATATTTAATTTTTATTTTTTTTTAAATATAATGAATACGGCCAAAATTGTATAATTTCAAATAATATGTCATTATATTTGAGTAGAATATTTTTAAAAATATAGTTCAAATATATTTTTCTTCCATGTGGGTTAATCTGATGTCTGTTGATGCTGTAACCATGTCAGGAGCCCCGGGACGGACATGATAGTTATAGGACATAGCAGCATGATGTTCAGTACAGGCCAATTCACATCACACAACGCACGTTATTATATGTATAGCATGCATGCCGATGTGCAATGTGAACGAGCGCTGCTGTGCGCTGAAATACGTTCTTAAAAATCACACTGCTGTACTTTTAATTTTTTTATTTAATTTTTTTTTTTTTTTTTTATATGTGATTTTTTATGTTCTGCTGCGGAGCATTAAAGTGCATAAAAGGCAACATATTCTACTTTGCCTTTCAGTGCAATGTGAGCTAAATCTATAGGATCTAAGGCTCTTACTCCTGTTGAGACAGGAAGTGAAGAGACCATTTCTCCAATGGGGACCTGAGCAGGAACGCATATTTTAAGCAGAAGTATTTTATGCATATTTTTTGCCATTCCCTGGTTCTGCCTTCCCCTTATTACCACAGATCAACTTCATTTTTTTTAAAATGTTTTCATTGCCTCCTAGTTGTCGACTCTAGTGACATCATCACTTGGTCTCCATAGTTCTCTGTGCAATGCAGGCAGATCATAGTTGGTGGGAGGGGCAGACAGCGGCAGATGGACTCTGACTTGTTGCAGCTTCTAATGCACATTATGAGAAGACCATGGTGAGCAGTGAAATCAGAGGAAGCTATTTTCAGTCCAGAGAGGAGTCAGTACAAACTGTGCAAGACTGATGAAGGGTAGGGAGCCGGTACACCTGTGCAAGAGTCTGAAGGGGAGGAGCTGGTACACCTGTGCGAGCTGAAGGGGAGGAGCCGGTACACCTGTGCGAGATGAAGGGGAGGAGTAGCCGGTACACCCTGTGCAAGACTGAAGGGGAGGATCCGGTACAACCTGTGCAAGATGAAGGGGAGGGCCGGTACACCTGTGCAAGACTGAAGGGGAAGAGCCGCTACACCTGTGCAAGACTGGAAGGCAAGGAGCCGATTCACCTGTGCAAGACTGAAGGGGAGGAGCCGGAACACCTGTGCAAGACTGAAGGGGAGGGAAGCCGCTACACCTGTGCAAGACTGAAGGGAGGAAGCCGGTAACCTGTGCAAGACTGAGGGGAGGAGAGCGGTACACCTGTGCAATCGACTGAAGGGGAGGAGCCGGTACACCTGTGCAAGACTGAAGGGGAGGAGCCGGTACACCTGTGCAAGACTGAAGGGGAAGAGATGCCGCTAACACCTGTGCAAGACTGAAGGCGAGGAAGCCGATTCACCTGTGCAATACTGAAGGGGAGGAGCCGGAACACCTGTTGCAAGACTGAAGGGGAGGGGAGCGCTACACCTGTGCAAGACTGAAGGGGGAGGAGCCGGTAAACCTGTGCAAGACTGAAGGGGAGGAGCTGGTAAACCTGTGCAAGACTGAAGGGGAGGAGCTGGTACACCTGTGCAGGACTGAAGGGGAGGAGCCGGTACACCTGTGCAAGACTGAAGGGGAGGAGCCAGTACAACCTGTGCAAGACTGAAGGGGAGGAGCCGTTACACCGGTGCCAAGACTGAAGGCGAGGAGCCGGTACACCTGTGCAAAAGACTGAATGGGGAGGAGCCGATTCACCTGTGCAATACTGAAGGGGGAGGAAAGCGGTTACACCTGTGCAAGACTGAAGGGAGGAGCCGGTACACCTGTGCAAGACTGTAGACGGGGAGGAGCCGGTACATAAAAATCCTGTGCAAGACTGAAGGAGGTGAAGGAGCCAGTACCACCTGTGCAAGACTGTGAAGGGGGGAGGAGCGTTACACCTGTGCAATACTGAAGGGGAGGAGCCATAAAACACCTGTGCAAGACTGAAGGGGAGGAGCCGTAACACCTGTGCAAGACTGAATGGGACGGAGCCGGTACAGCTGTGCAAGACTGAAGGGGAGGAGCAGGTACACCTGTGCAAGACTGAAGGGGGAGGAGCCGGTACACCTATGGAAGACTGAAGGGGAGGAGCGGTACACCTGTGCAAGACTGGATGGGGAGGAGCCGGTTACACCTGTGCAAGACTGAAGGGGAGGAGCCGGGTACACCTGTGCAAGACTGCGTAAGGGGAGGAGCCGGTACACTCCTGTGCAAGACTGAAGGGGGAAGGAGCCGGTTACACCTGTGCAAGACTGAAGGGGAGGAAGCCGGTACACCTGTGCAAGACTGAAGGGGAGGAGCCGGTACACCTGTGCAAGGACTGAAGGGGAGGAGCCCGGTACACCTGTGCAAGACTGAAGGGGGAGGAGCCGGTACAGCCCTGCGCAAGACTGAAGTGGGAGGTGCCGGTACACCTGCGCAAGACTGAAGGGAAGGCTGGAGGTCAGGCTGGTTGGAGGATGCGGATGACACCACGCCCCCCATCAGTTCTGGGGATCAGGCTCAGGTAACTATGAACCCTTCTAATAGGATTTGAGGTGTTTCAATGCGCGCCCCCCCAGGATAGGCAGGAAATGGACTCCAAGTTCATATAAGACTCGGCACCCAAAATCTAAATTGCCGAGTATAAGACGAAGATTTAATGGAAATTCAGAAAGAAAAATCCGAACTGTCCATTTGATGCCTTTTAAAGCCGGGGAATCTGTGCGGCGTGCCGCTGCGATATAGAGCGCCACGCTACACAAAACCGTCTTTAATGTACAGGATAAAGGAACGATTTGTAAGAAGTCCTCTGTTCCCAGACCCGCACGGTCACTATTGGCCGGACCAGCGACAATTCCGCGCTCATTATATTCATCAAATCCCCAGAAGACTCATAGAATGACAGAAGAGAAATGATTTATGTTTAATCTTCATGGCTGGCGGGGGGTCCTACGGAGGGGGCAAAAGATTATCTGCACTGAGTCCGTCTGACGCAGCGGGATTATTAAGAACAGAGAATAACATATACAATTCACAACACGCAGACAAGTCCGCGCCGGTCCCTGAGATATAATGCATAAAGCGTGCTGGGAGGAAGGGGGATGGGCAGAGGTTTTATCCGAGGGAAGGAAAGCTGCAGGATCTGATTACTGTAATATTATGAACCAAGTTCTATCCCTCACTCAGAGGCTGTTTTACATGACTGAGCTATGGAAGGATTTTCCAGCATGCTGGATAAAACTCATTTGGATGGCACTCATTATGGAGTCATGTTATCCCTTACAAGGCCGGCTCATCAGTGATGCAATGTATGTGGGTCAAATGCTTGGTATTTTATGGTAAGAATTAGAAGCTGTCTTTTGTTGTAAATGGGAAATAGGACTTGGTCTGGTCTTGATGTTTTATAGTGTCAGTATCAGACCAGGGCCAGACTAGGCCAAGATCAGACCAAGACCAGAATAAATGAAGACCAGACCAAGACCAGACCAGATCAAGACCAGACGAAGATCAGATCAAGGCCAGACCAAGACCAGACCAGACCAAATCAAGAACTGACTCAGGCAAGACCAAGATCAGACTAAGGCCAGGCCAAATCCAGACCAAGTCCAGACCAGCACCATACCAAGACCAGGCAAGACCAAGACTAAGACCAGACCTTGGTCTGGTCTTAGTCTTGGTCTTGCCTGTGCCTAGTCTTGGTTTGGCCTTGGTCTAGTCTTTGTCTGGTCTTGATCTGGTCTGGCCTGGTCTTGGTATGGTGTTGGTCTGGACTTGGTCTGGCCTTAGTCTGATCTTGGTCTGGTCTTCATTTTACTCTGGTCTCGGTCTGATCTTGGTCTAGTCTGGCCTTGGTCTGATACTGACACTATAAAACATCAAGACCAGACCAGACCAAGGCAAGACCAAGACCAGACCAAGGCAAGACCATGGCCAGACCAAGGCCAGACAAGAGGATGAACAGACCAAGTCCAGACCAAGACCATACCAAGATCAGACTAAGAGCAGACCCAGACCACACCAAGACCAGACAACAGCCAAGACCAGACCAGGACCAGGCTAATACTTGTTGTAATGACTGTAAATATACTGTCATACATAAGTCTGATAATTACTTACTATATAGCTAAAATTCTTAATTATATTGGCAGTGATATACAGATCTAAAGGAATCTGATACCTCCTTATGCCAGGGGACCTCTTACTGTATATAGAATACAGAGGAATACTTCTTCCTCCACCCCTCTAGTAATATAAAGACTACTATGGAGGTATGGACCTCCTCATCCCACTGTCCCCTCTAGTGATATACAGATCTATATAGAGGAATCAGGACCTCCTTCCTCCTGCCAGGGACCTCTCCTAGTGATATAAAGATCTATACAGAGGAATCGGGACCTCCTTCCTCTTGCTGGGGACCCCTCTAGTAATATAAAGATCTATATGGAGGAATCAGGACCTCCTTCCTCCCACTGGTGACCACGTTTGTGATATAAAGATCTATACAGAGGAATCGGAACCTCCTTCCTCCTCTGGTGACCCTCCTAGTGATATAAAGATCTATATAGAGGAATCGGGACCTCCTCCCTCTTGCTGGGACCCTCTAGTAATATAAAGATCTATATGGAGGAATCAGGACCTCCTTCCTCCCACTGGTGACCCGTTAGTGATATAAAGATCTATATTGAGGAATCAGGACCTCCCTTCTCCTTGGTGACCCTCTAGTGATATAAAGATCTATATAGAGGAATCGGGACCTCCTTCTCCTGCTGGTGACCCCTCTAGTGATATAGAGATCTATATTGAGGAATCAGGACCTCCTTCCTCCTGTTGGTGACCCCTCTAGTGATATAAAGATCTATATAGAGGAATCAGGACCTCTAGTGATATTCTCCAGGAAGTTCATGCTGGTGACCCCTCTAGTGATATAAAGATCTATATAGAGGAATCGGGGACCTCCTTCCTCCTGCCGGTGACCCCTCTAGTGATATAAAGATCTATATAGAAGAATCAGGACCTCCTTCCTCCTGCTCTAGTTTGACACCCAGTTGATCCAATTCATGCCCCGCTCTTCCCCCTCCCAATGGACATCCATATAACGAATGGCAGATATGCAGGAAGTGGATCCCATGGGAATGTAATCTGTGCTCCATCTCGCCATCCCGCTTGACAGCACTGCGGCGGCGAGCAGTGTGCAGCATTAATATGGAGCTACATCATTAGAACTCCATGAGACGCATTCTGCTGGAGAGTGCATTGTGCTTCCTGCCTGATATCTGAGCTGTGATAATTAGAACCTGCAGCCTTTAATGAAAATACTAATTATGTGCTCGTTACGCTGGCAGTTTATGAGTTTCAGGCCATTGTTTGTAGCTGAATTAATTAGGACGTCGCTGTAGCATTAGTAAGTCAGTGGCGGGGTAAGAACGGCCGAGAGCTGGACAGTGTTTATCTTATTAATGCCTCAAGTTACATTGTATACAGAGTCTAATTAATTTCATGAAGCTGCTTAACATTTGTATTGTAAAATGATCCCCCACCCCCCCCCCCCCCCCCCCTCCGTTTTGCACCCGTGTCTTTAGTCTGGTGATGCAATCGCACTAAATACACTGCTCAAAAAATGAAAGGAACACTTTTTAATCAGGATAAAGTCAATTAAGCTCCCAGGATATTGATCTGGTCAGGTAAGTAGCAGAGGGGGTTGTTAATCAGTTTCAGCTGCTTTGGTGTTAATGAAATTAACAACAGATGTACTAGATGGGCAACAATGAGACAATTCCCAAAACAGGAATGGTTTTATAGGTGGAGGCCACTGACATTTTTTCCCTATTCATCTTTGCTGACTGTTTTTCACTAGTTTTGCATTTGGCTAGGGTTGGTGTCACTACTGGTACTATGAGGCCATACCTGGACCCCTACAGAGGGTGCACAGGCAGTCCAACTCCTCCAGGATGGCACATCAATACGTACCATTACCAGAAGGTTTGCTGTGTCTCTCAGCACAGTCTCAAGAGCATGGAGGAGATTCCAGGAGACAGGCAGTTACTCTAGGAGAGCTGGACAGGGCTGTAGAAGGTCCTTAACCCATCGGCTGGACCGGTATCTGCTCTTTTTTTGCAAGGGAGGAACAGGATGAGCACTGCCAGAGTCCTACAAAATGACCTCCAGCAGGCCACTGGTGTGAATGTCTCTGACCAAACAATCAAAAACAGACTTCATGAGGGTGGCCTGTCCTCTAGTGGGCCCTGTGTTCACTGCCCAGCATCATAGAGCTGGATTGGCATTTGCCATTGAGCACCAGAATTGGCAGGTCCACCACTGGCGCCCTGTGCTTTTCACAGATGAGACCATGTTCACCCTGAGCACATGTGACAGACGTGAAAGGGTCTGGAGAAGCCGTGGAGAACGTTCTGCTGCCTGTAACATGGTTCAGCATGACCATTTTGGTGGTGGGTCAGTGATGGTCTGGGGAGGCATATCCATGGAGGGATGCACAGACCTCTACAGGCTAGACAATGGCACTCTGACTGCCATTAGGTATCGGGATGAAATTCTTGGACCCATCGTCAGACCTTACGCTGGTGCAGTGGGTCCTGGGTTCCTCCTGGTGCAGTGGGTCCTGGGTTCCTCCTGGTGCATGACAATGTCCCGGCTCATGTGGCGAGAGTATGCAGGCAGTTCCTGGATGATGAAGGAATTGATACCATTGAATGACCCCCACGCTCGCCTGACCTAAATCCAATAGAACACCTCTGGGATGTCATGTTTAGGTCCATCTGACGCCACCAGGTTGCACCTCAGACTGTGCAGGATCTCATTGATGCCGTGGTCCAGATCTTGGAGGAAATACCCCAGAATACCATCCGTCGTCTCATTAGAAGCATGCCCCAATGTTTTCAGGCATGCATACAAGCATGTGGGGGCCATGCAAACCACTGAGGACCATTTTGAGTTGAAATTTCAGCAAAATGGACTTGCCTGCTGCATCATTTTTTCACTTTGATTTTCGGGGTGTCTTTGAATTCAGTCCTCTGTAGGTCGATCATTTTCATTTCCGTCAAACGATGGGACATTTTTACGTTCCTCACACATTACCCCGTCCATGTCAGTATAGAGATCCAGCAGGAGATTTTTCCCCATTGAGATCTGATGGGTTTTCAACGTCTTCCTTTAATTTTTTTGAGAAGTGTATTTAGGGAATGGAGTACAGTTGGGTGAGAACTTCCTGAATATGAGCTGAGCTGACTTTGTGGGTTTGTTTCAATGTTTTTTTTTAAATATTAGCATGTCTGCGGGTTTTGTTTGCGTTCTATATTGTCCTGACCTTTTAAAGGACAACATTACTGCCTGGAAGCACACTGACTTTGCAGAAAAAAATCGT